TTGTGTAACGTTCCTTCGGTCGATGGATCGCGAAGTTGGTTCTTGAGGTCCTTTGTGTCGGCAATGAGTCAACCTGGGCGGGAGTCAGTACATGCTTGTCAATGACGGAGCAGCTGGGCAATGATGATGGAAATTGGACATGATACTTACTGAATTGCAGGGCAAAGCCGTTTTGAGTAAGCGAGTAGTGGGACTGATCGTTGTAGCCACGGAGATGGACAGTCCCTCCCACGTCAGCTGGGCTGTGCGGCCTCCAGTTACTTCGACGAAGGTCAACACGGGTCGGAATCGTCGGAGAAGCACCAGGTTTTGTGTGAGGACGAGACGTGCGATGTACTCAAAGACGGCGAAGACTTTGCATCCGAACCAGAGGGAGAAGGCATCAAATCTTGCTGCTCTGCCGAGATGCGTCGACAGTTTCCGGGTATCAGGGGTGTAAAAGGGTATTGTGGTAAGGTAATGGGAGAACGAAGCAGCAGTTTGGAAGAATGTTGGACGTTGACAAGAATGGGAGGAAATGGAATTCAGAAAGCCAGCGGTCGCTCAGGCAAGGAACACTGGCCTGCGCTTGTATCCAATGTCTCCAACACTACGGGAGATGACCTGCGGCCGTTTGTATCAAGGCAGGTGGGAGACCTCTGCGATGCACTCCTGCCACGGACAGGTACCTCGGTGAACAGAAGCTTAGGAAGGAAGGATATCTGTTGTTGAAGTTGCGCCGTGACGTCCGTATGCCTGCAGCGGAGGGAACATGATTGAAGACCTGTACCCATCTCTTCAACCATGTTCTAACCCAGGCTCGTCACCATCACCAAGCCACGTCAGAGAGGAAGGAAACGGATAACATACCCGCTCGCGGTGCTTGGCGTGATGATGGCCAGCCTGCATGCAGTTTGTCAGCATCCATCATATCTTGCTACTCCTGATAGGTTGACTACTACATACCAGCAAATAGGATCCAATTGGTCGTCCAAAATATACAACAACACTTGCTGGACATACGTCAAGCTCAACAACATCTCTCAAATATCATAATGACAACTCGACGTGGAGTCCTCAGAGACGTAGTAGAGGACTTGAGACGTTGGCACAGGCAGAGTTTGTCTCCTGATTGCAGCTTCCGTAGGATGACGATGGCACAAACCATATGCCAAGGAAGCTGCCGTTTCTTTTCTTCTAGGCCTCTCCACGAAGATACGCCGTGGTTTGGAAAGAGAGGCAGCCTTTTCTATTGCCGACATTGCAATCTTTAGACATGGAAACCGAACCTCAAGCGCACTTTCCTGCTTCAGCCTCTAGCTACACCTACACCTACCTACACCACTTCATCTGTCACCGATAATTCTCGTCTTCTGAAAACAACGTCACCTCTGCTTCTAATGCGCCCTCCTCCGACTTTCATCCGCCATCGCTCCCTAAATACGAGCATTCTGTTCAGAAACAACTACAATACTCTTTTAAACGAGACTCACAATAACGATGAGTTGAGTGCCTCAAATACCCAGAGACCTCAGTAAGGTGGATATTTCTAACTTCAAGGGCTCAGTCCCAGTTATAACAAGCATTCAGAATGGTTCAACAGACAATCAAACAACCCCGAATGCACCTCAACACGAATCAGAGGTTGCATATACCCAAATACGTGCACATACCGAGAACATAACGTCACAAGTACAAAACATGCCTAAAGACGGCTCCGAAGTTCGATCAGTTCTGCGCGAACTTTCGGCCGCCAGGCGTGCGTCGGCGATCTACTTCTCAACAGTCGCCCGCAAACACAAGAAGGCACTCCAAACATTAGAGAGGCGGGAAAATCCTCAACAAGAACGAATCGAGACACGACTAACCTTGATGCTGGAGAATCATTGGGCGCGCTCCAAACTGGGCAATGTTCCACCGTCCTAGATGGATGGTGGCAGAACCAACGTGTTCAAGCCTTGAGTGGCGACATTACGGAGAGAACACAAGCTTTCCGTATCATTAATAAGGAAGGGAACGTAGGCCGAGCTGGGGATCGCTGTACCGGTTTTAATCAACTGTTATGTGCAACAAAACATGGCAGATGAGAGGCTGTGGAGTCTGCAGTTATGATCAGTGCTACTGTTCAGATCCTCAATAGACGAAAACGTCGCGGAACATCAACTGCGGCCCACTGACCGCAAATAAACTGGTGAATGTATTCAGACTGAGGCGGTATTTTGACCGATACTGTGCTCATCACCGGGATCAGTAATCCTTCCGCCAGCATGACTGTTTACTATGTCCGACTCTGAGCCACAATCCGTTCCCTCGTTGGCGAGAACCAATGCTGACTGGGGCCGAGAAAGCAGATCCACACCGGAGTTTGGTGTTCAGAGAATGTCAGCATTGTCCAAAGCCGTTGGGCCTGAAAACTTCAAACTCACCACAAACATTCTTTTGAACCCAACTTAAGGTAAGGTCTAATGGGTCCGTTAGCGGCGGCAAGAATTTGAGGGGCAAGCCCAAGCAGGGTTTTGGATCCATTAGAAGGGTCTTGCTAATCACAACCTGTGCATGCTTATCTTCTTTGGCACTTAGAAGGCACTGCGCTCCCAGGTACGTGCTAATTCCTGTCAACCCATGTAACTTGTCGTGGGGAAGACGATCGTGAAAGGCCATGGTTCGTGGAGCAGCCGCGACATCAATCTCGAGCTCCGTGTCAATGGCCTGGAATGAAGACTGTGTTTCAGTCTCGAGAGTGTCCTTACCGGGAGAGTTCGTTCACGGAATCGGACCGTTTGCTTCGTTTTTGGTCAGAACGGGCGATGTTGTGTGAGCTTTCACCCCGAGACAAGGCATTGCGCTTTGTCGGACTGGGGATATGTTGGCATGATTGACCTCTCTTGGAAGTTGAGTCAGCATATCACCCAGACTGAGGACTGCCGTCAGTGGTGACGCCAGCGAGTCCATTGATAGAGGCAGAAAAGAAGGATATCAAGTTGAACGGGGTGGGCATCGAAGTGAGAATTGTTCGTGAGCTTGTCGCTTGATGTCGTTACTGGAGGCGGATGGAACGCCATCCCATGTCGACGGGCGGTTCCTCAGGGATGCTCAACTGTGTTCTGACTGATGTCGGAGCCGACCTCTTCTAGCCGCGGCGCCCGGTTTGCTTTCGTTTGAACGACACATCTGATCCGTTTCAAGCTCCCAGACTGTTCAAGGCCCTTCATCGCCAGCAGTGGAAATATGCTCGCCGTTTCTTCGAAGCCTTTGAACCATCACACGAGGCCTCTTCTCGCATCAGTGCTCTCATATTGGAACGCCCTTTGCTCCTATTGGCTTAATGGCGATGAGGTAGAGAGTTTGGCTCAGCTTATCTACCGGACGGATGGCACCTGGGCTCGAGAGCTTACCGGAAAGTCCCGTCGTCGATTTATGGCGTGCAGGAGCAGGTTTGGACAACGGCGCGATGATATGGTGATCCCACTCCTCTGCAGAAACATCACAGTCTCGGAATATTCTTTGGAACATCAATCTCCACACAAAGGCCCGGGATTTATCAAATCGCAGGGCCTTGGAAGCGGTTATTGCTGCTAGTTTGCTGTCACAAGGATGGCTAAAGCCGCGATGCTTCCCCTTGGCAGCTATTCCCCAGGAATATAGACAAGCCCTTTTCGAGGAAGACATCCACGACTATCTGCGTTTGCGTAGATGGCTCTGGGCTATGGAAGCCCTCCCGCTGGGGGAAGGTCCAGCCTTCAGTAGTCGTGGTGATATCCGATTGGGGAGTCGTGTCAGCACTCCAAGCTTTACAGAAGAGTATGGTTGATATCAATAATTTGAGAACAAAGGGCTTCCCTCCGCCATTCATATGAGAACATCCCGTCCTTCAGTCGTCGTGTCAAGACGACGATGGCACCAATGATGAACCTCGCATCAGGGAGAATTCCCTGGCCTGGACAGCCCCAGCATATCCAGTGATAGCATCACACCTTTGGTGATACTGGCGGAGTACCATCTTCTTCCCCTCCCATCTGGAATTTCAACCCCCCTTTCCCCCCTACCTGCCTTCGCCTCCAACAGAGGATTTCGCCTCCGATTGGGTTTGAACTCCGCTGACCTCCTCCTGTGTGAAGAATAGTGGCATCGATGAATAGGCCCGAGTCGCCGACGGAACATGTCCCGATAGTAGCAAAAGAGAGGACGGCATGATAAACTAGCCGACTGCGGGACTGTTCAGGAGCGGCGATGGCGACGTGATGCCTATTTCGCCTCCTGGACGTAGACGTTAGCTGGAAGTCGAGCGAAAACTTGAACAAGACTAATTGCCACCCGCCGATCCATTGGAAAGAACGGGTAGAATTTGAAGCTGTTGTGCCAGGTGGCCAAGACCGTCTTGGAGCACCCCAGACTCCGTGAGGATGGGTCTTGAGGCAAGCGGTGTGATGTGTTACAAACCAAACATTTCTCCAACATATAAGCTCACACAAGATTCCAACACCAAGTGGTGAGAACGAGAAGAGCCATGGGAACGATTCGAGACTCCAACAAGGATCCTGGCTGGTATCCGGCACTCCATCTTTTTTATCATGACATAGCATTCTATACTACATACAAAGCAAGAAAACAACAAGAAAGACGTGAAACACCACGGGCAAGGCCAAGAACCCCAACAATACGCCGAGATTATTAGACATTCGAGCACGCCATGCTGCCAGATTCGTCAACATCAACCGGAGGAGGCCAGACGTCAAGAAGGGCTGAGACAGATGACATCGGACTGCAGAAAGCTGGCAGAACCGTTCTAAAAGAGATCCGACTATGTGAAAAGCGTCAGAGATGCCTAGTTCAAGAAGAGCACAGTTGACTCACATTGGTGGACGTTGCAGGTGTACCCTTGCTTCTCAGATGATGCGTCCCAGAGCTCGGTACCCGGTATGAGCAGTGACACGACGAGGTGCCAGATCGGTTGTCTGTGTCTGTCCATCGCAGGTGATCCAGAAGACAGATTGCCCTGCAATGCATACAGCTATCCGTTTTCAAAGCCACTCCCGATCATCTTCCGCGATCCAGCAAAGACCACCTTTTCGTGAGACTTTGATTGTTTTCTCCCGCTTCCCTTCGCCATGCTGCGCACCGGTCTGATCGCTGGTGTTCTCGCCGGTCTTCGGATTCTGCTGTCCAAGCTTCTGCGCCCGGCGTTGGGACGCAACCCATGACTCCTTGTCGATGCCCTCCATGACCAGTTTCGTACCCCAATACCTTCCCAACGCGCGGTGATGGACCTGGCCTTCGGGTATCCAGCCGGATAAAGCCGGGTCGTCGGTGGTGTACTCGATTGTGGTGTGAGGTTGGAAGTTGACGCGGGCCTCGGTGAGGAGGTAAGGGACTACCATCTTGTCCTAAAAGATGGGAGCGTCGACTTCGACCGCTTTGGGCTTCACAGCGGCGGGGGTAAGCGCGTCGATCACCTTTGAGGTGGCGGCGTGGGCAGCGCCGAGCGTCGGCAGGTATCGGCGGCTCTTCGAGTGACGGCTGGAGGTGCTCCCTGAGCCCGGCTTGCGACGCGTGGTCATTTGCGATCTTTCGTTATCTTGACTACCTGCGGGATCGCGCTGTGCTCTTGAGGCAGACCGTGTGATAGCCATGATCCTTGAAAAAAAAGAAAAAAAGGTCAGCTGAAGTGACGAATGCGTGGATCGTGTTTTGGACTCACGAATTGTCGCGGAGTGGCGTTTTGGTCGCGTTTTTTCCAGGGTTGATTATGATCAATCACGGGGCCGAAATCGTAGCGAATTGGGATAAAAGGTTGAGCTGATCGCGCATTCAACAATAGAGAAAAAGAAAATTCGATGTGCGGATAATTTGGTCGGCATTGGATTCGAAAATTGAATGCAGGCGTCGGTTGTGCGACTCGGAGGAAGAGTCGCTTGTTGCTCGGGCAGTCGAATGCTGGGAGATGGAAGTCAAAGGATGCGGGGCCAGAGGGAGCCAATCAAATGTCCTTCTGCCCTTGGGGACCGGCAGATAAGATCCTGGCCTCTCATTGGTCCGATCTTGTGGTCTTGACAGAAGTGGAATCGCCCGCACAAAGGTGAGGCCAACCGCAACTAGAAAAAGCATCTCGACATCACAAAGTCGGCCGAACACCAGGAACGGCGTCAGTGTTTGCCATCCAGAAGTACCGGGGGTAAACGTGCGGCTGAAGTGGAGATCGGACAACTTGATGCTGAATCTTGATTTAAACTTCGCTGTTGCATGGATGTGCCACTCTGGTGTCGCGAACTGCAAACCTTGCCTCCGGCAGTCTGTGATTCGGTGTACCTGTCAGACTCCTGGTTGACCACATTATTGACAAGAAACCAAATGAGGAAATACATGATAACGCAGACGATGGTGCCCATCACTCGCTATGGAGGGACTGGATTGGCGCGGCTGCGGCTGTGAGAGTTCATGAGATCGCCCGGAAGCGAAAGATTTGATTGTGGAACTTCCATCGTGGGGAAGTAGTCCAATTATGCACACGCAGTTACAGTCTGAACCTCGAAATCAAAACCTTTGACGTTCGACTGGGCTGTGATAACAGTCTCCTGGAATGCAAGACATACATGGCGCCGATCTGGCTGGTGAGCCATTACGAGTGCAGTGAACCTGGTGTCAGCAACAGACCTGTGTTTACCCTGAGCTTCCATCGCAACTAGCGTACGCCAATGATCTGCAAAATACAGTCGGGCCTGGGCCGTTGGAAAGGAAATCTATAATACGCGAGACTCAGTAATACGAGAGACTCATTTGCACCCACCTGTGACGTTCCGGCATCAGCGATCATCACGGTGCGTACTCGAATCTGGTAGTGCGGGCTTGAGTGCCGGCAGGGTAGCTGCTCCCAGCTGCTGTGGTGGATGCGGTTGAGTTGATTGACACGGCGATGGACTAGGCGTCTTGCTCGGAGCCAGCTTCGGATATCAAGTGAATGCGGACTTGTCAAAACGGATTGCCACACACGGCAAAGACTTTATTGTGATACCAAGTTATGTAGAATCTCCGTAATCCATGGTCCCCTTAAGCAACGTCACAGCCTTCCAAGGTTATCAAACTCCTCCCCAATTCATGCAAATACTCCACTCCAAGCCCATGTTAGTGATGTGAGATGTGATAATACACTCATTTCCGCAAATGATACGCGTACCAGCTCGCCGTACGTCTCAGCGGATGGTCAGGCTGTATGGTGTATGTTCATTCGTACGCTCTCCCTTGTTACTCCTTGTTGACGATACCATCGTCCGATCGGACCACCTTCTGTATGGCTACCAGTGTCGAGGCTGCCCTGGGCTGGACGTGTTCGTTGAACATGCGCACCAGTTGGGCCTTGTTCTCGGTTCCAGTGTAGGGAATGCTGTGGCGACACAAGATATTGCGGATCATAGCGGCCTTGAGGGAGGAGGGCCGAAATCCAGGTTGCAGATAGGAAACGTCGTCGAATTGCGATGGTATTGGTTCGAGAGGCCGGGGCTCAGTGTTCTCACTATCCGACTCCTTCAAATCCGTTGGGGAGTCTGTGCTCATGTTGCTCGTCTTTCCAAGCGTGTCCAACTGCCTGTTGCCTTCGAGGTCGAGAACTTCAATCTGGTCCGCAATGCTGTCGACTTGAGCGTCATGTGTCTCGGAGGTGGTGCAAGCCGCCTGTTGATTGTCTGGTCGCACGCTGAAGATGCTGTTCTCTTGGCAAACCTCGATGAGGTCAACTTTCTTTGCCTTCGGGGGGATGGGAATGTTGTTCTCCCGAAGGAGCCCTCGCAGCTCGACGACCTTGAGCTTCATAAGGTCGGAGACGCTTGACACTTCGCTGCCATCCATCGGGTGCGTGTTGTTGACAGCATCTCTCAAGGTTCCGGCGCGCGTGTTGACCATCGTGTAATAGGCAAAAGGTAGTATTGGGACCCGGCTTATTGTGATGTTCCCTCGTAGCTTCGTTTAGAGCTGGCAAAGCGTGATTGTACTAGCGGAAGCTACCGTCGATGTAACGAGGTCGAAGGAGAGCGAGGGTTAGTTTGAGCCGATGAGGTCGGACAGCTGTAGCACGAAGGCCCCCACGTCACGGTGCTTTGTTCGAGGTGATTGCCAACAGGAGGACGAAGTCGTTGTCGCGTGCAGCGACGTAGTTGGGTGTGTGATGTGGAGGATGGAGGTTGGGGACAGGCGACGTGCTGTGGTGAAGTTGCAGATTTGGTCATGTTGGCGGCAGAGGCCTAGAAGGAGCTTCCAACAAACGGAATCGAGCAGGAATCCACGCGTTGCACCTACCTACATAGCCACCTTTGCAGTTCAGATAGCATTTGACGGGTTCTCCTTCTACACGCTGGAATGCTTCCTTCCTTATACGTCCGTCGGTCATAGTATGACGAAGCAACGACGCCATGCAGTTGCCCTTGGCGAAGAAGGTCCACACCTGATGAAATAAGATAGTTGATTGAGTAATCTTGGGTACCTTCCCCTACCATTGCCCGTTTGTTGTAGACGTCATACCTCGTCTTCTGCTGTTCTGTTGCTACTGTCGCCGCAGCCCAGTTTAACAAGCAGGAGGAGGATTTCATGCAGCGCTAGAGACCAGAATTATGTTTTCTTGATCTTCACACCGGGAACTATTTGATCTGGATGAAGGTTTACCCCCCATGTTTTCATATCGATTGGATCAAACTGAAACAAGATGGCTCAATGATCCCAATTGGTTCATGGTATCAGGGAAACCTGAAGCATTGTCTTCGTTTAGCTTCTTCCCACAGCTTCGAATGATGAACATTTCTTTTGATCTCAAGGGATTGAAACAGACTGACCGTGGTTTTTGACCTTCATTGCATACTTGGCTCTGCAACATAGCCTTGGAATTCCCCACGGCCCGGCCCAGAGACGGGATGGGTTACTGACACAATCAACGAATGATGAGAGGCAACCTTTCTTTCAAGAAGCCCCTCTGCGGTGACGACGAGGGCGATAAGAGCCAAAGCATAGACCATGAAAACCACCACGATCACATCCACGATGCAGCATCACCAAAAGAGTAGGCATATGGAGCTCGCAGCCGCAGATGAGAACAACTTATCTCGTGAAGTCCAGAGGAAATGCCTCAAAAATTCTGTATCCATCAAGCGGACCGACTGATACGAGCTTCTTGGCTCGCCATACGTCGTGAACGGGACTTCTCGCCTTGAAGTCAGAGCTCGTTCATGCGGCACCTGGGCTCGAAATCTAATTTGCCTGAGACAACTGACGCCGACGATGACGGTGAAGAGAAGGTCACAGACGGCCTTAGGGGGATACTCACCTTCAGGTCCTGATGGAAATCGTGGCCGCTTGAAGAACGCCAGTCCGGAACCAGGTAGTCGCTGCATTGAATTCGCCGTGAGGAGGGGATACTGGGTTGCCAGTCGATGGTACTTTCCAGGACGCAGCTCGCCAGATTCATCACAAACAACGACAGAATTTGATATAACCTGCTCTCCTTGAGTATAGACGTCTTTTGATACATTTTTCCGCGTAGGAAACTAACGCCCCTGGTATTCACCACTAATCGCCCCCGTCTGGGGGCGATGATGGGTACAGTGATTGGCTTTTGCCGCGGGTCTCCCGCCGCACAAACACATGCTTTGTGATCTACTTGGGCCTGCTTTTGTAGAGTTTGCATTGCCAAACGCAGAGATGAATGCTCTTTGGAGATCTCGCTGTGACGCGAGCATGTATGCAGACGAGGGTCCGGGGCTCGCCTGTCCACTCAAACGTCAAGAATGTCGACGCCGATGAGGATGCAATGAACAGTTACCGGCCATTGAGCACCGAAGCCGTCAGAAGGATGAATAAGAGCCGAGGCATTGTCTTGCCTAAGGGGTGAGTGCAGCTGCTGGTCAAGATCATAAGGTTCTGCTGGAGAATGTTGACTCGTTGGGGCGAAAGACTGAACCGATGGATCACAGCATTATGCTCTTTGAGGGAACGAACTGGCATCAGGGCAGAAGGCTGTATGGCATGCTGATACTGTAGTGAAGGCAGGGCTGAGCCATATATGTGTTGACGGGCAGGATTTAGTAACCGCAGATTCCTACAGAGGTTCCACTCGAGCTTCATCTTTCGAAGGGCTTTGCACCTTGCTTAATCAAGAAGCGAAACAAAATGGAATGAATCACGGAGGCCATGATCATGTGAGAAACGGACAGCAACAGGAAATGAACTGGGGTTGGGACTGGTCCGAAGGTACACGCCATGTCCATCATTAACGGGATCCAGCAAAGGACAGTCTCGTATGTCGAAACCGGCCCTGGCATCCTGAGACTCTTGTGCTATGTGATGATACCAGAGAGCCAGATCCCGGCCAGGGTCAAAACCAACCAAACTCGTACGCTCAATGCAATCTTGTTACGTCAACGTCTGTGTAAGTCATTCGTCGCCTCGCCTCAACCTCCGGGAACCATCTCGAGAGACGTCTGTCTTGCCTCTGGGTGACGGTTTTGCTCGGACCTCTGAGCTTTGACTGGGAGCTCAATAGAAGACACGGCAGTGACTGGCTCCGTGAACGACTCGAGCTGGTCTCCCAAGCCAAGACCCAAAGGCAGGAGAATACGCCTGTCAGAACGATGACGATGCCTGACCACATCATTCGCCCGAGTCGAGGCCGTCCTGGCGTTTGGAAGCTATTGTAGGCAACAAGCAAGTCGCGACGATCGTTTGGACTCGTACGTGCAACACGGTGGGGTCGTCAGTGCAAGACGTTGAGGGCGAAGAGACGCGAAGCGTCACGGACGCGGGTACCCAAGTCTTAGTCGGATCGTCACCATATCCCTCGGTTACCCCAGCATCACTGCCTGCCACCGGCTCGGGTTGTCCTCGTTTATCTTCGCAGTTCTGGCGTCGGTGCTGGAGCGACCTGGTTGACGCCGGGAGGCGGTTCGAGCAGCGGTCTGCTCGAGAATGTTGTGGTCTCTTGGAGATGAACTCGCAAGTCCGAGTCGATCTGTCGAGACGGAGGCAGCTAGAGATAGGTTGTTAGCATTGTATCAAGTTCCGGGAAAGGTCTCCATGGCCTACCCAAGCGTACCGCACCGCTATACTACCCTTGCGTCACGCACCAAGAGCATTCGGAACAAGCTGCAATACTCGAGGGTGATGACTTTCGTCCAATGCGTAGTACCAAGCAGCAGTCATCCTCGTTGTCATACTCCGGCCGTCCGGGCGCCGCGTCGGAAAGGGTCCCTCGGCTCGAGTTGGGATGCGAGATGGTGCTTGAGATAGTCTTTTGGAGTGGCATGCCTTTTAGAGTCGACCACCTGTGTTCGTAGGCTCGTATGCGAAACTGAATTTGCATCCCCGAGTTCAACTCTCAATCTCGTGGCGAGATACCCAAGACTCTCGGTGACGTCAACGTCGGATGTTGTGCGGAAAATAACGAAGTCGGACCTAGATGCAGGACAGGCCCAGAAAACCTTGGCGTTGTAATCGGGTCCTGGTGGCATTGAGTATGGCTGCTGTCCATCTCGGTGAAAGGGTAGCATCAGGGACGGGGTGGCAGCCGACGTCGTGACGTTCGAACACGGGTTCGTGTAAAGCCGAGAGTGGGGGGATGATGGGAGGACTTCCGATTTCCAACGTTTTTGATCTTTCCAACCGAGAGGACGGTTTGTGACGGCTGTATCGAAGTCGTAACGGGAATGGGTGAAGGGCTGAATGATTGGTTCGGTCGCCCAAAAGCCGCCCGCGACAGATTTGGTCGACCAAGTTGGTCGACCTTCCTTTGGTCGACCATGTTCACTGGTACGTACCTGCAGCTTCACTTCTTTCCGAACCCGACTTTAAAGGAAGGCACGGCGGTTTGCGTGGTGCCTTCCCTGAGCAAATGCATCGCGTCGCAGAGGAAGCCTTCCACCTCCGCTCATCACTCAATCAACGCACCTTCTTTCCTTTCCATCTCCCTACATTTCCTGCAAACACCAAGACCGGGTCTCAGCATCGCGACTCCTCTTCAACAAGCGCGACAATTCTTTCATACCATCCAGTGATACATCTCAAAGCAATCTTTGGTCCCAATCGCTGCAAGATGAACGCTCTTCCCTGCTCTCCCTCGAAGGCGGCTTCTGGCCATCTTCCGCCCACCTGGCCGCCCGACAGACTCGACGCCATACCGCACACGCTCAATGACCACATCGACGATTTCGCACGCACGATGCCGCCGCCTGAAGCCGACATCATTTGGGTTCGAAAGTGGGTTGCTACCGCCGCCGATTTCCGGTACGCGACTCCGCGCCATCTCGTCTCATGGACCGGTTTGAATCTACATCATGTCAAGGTCGATTACATGGTCGGATATCTTGTCGAGTGCGGTCTGGGACAGTTCCACGCAACGGAGATCGCTCTCGATATCGTCAACGCAAGGAAGGTATGTTGTTGTTCTCTCTGCTCTACCATTTACGCCGCTGACTTGCCCTCTCTACAGACTCTTTGCCGATGGCAGCACGCACTTGAAAAGCCCGAGTCTATCCCGAACGCAAAGAAGATAGCGAAACAGACCGCTGTTCCCGTCAACGAGAACGATGCAAAGCGCACCACACGCAGCAGAACGGCCCTTCTTTTCATGCGGCTCTTCATTCGCTTTGCCGACGTCTGCGTGGTTGTTTCTCTGCTTTGCGGCGTTTTGTCCATCTTCTTCCCGTTGAAGCTCAAGGATGTCCTTTCCGACTACCGCGGACTGCTCCGGCCTTTTGCTTTCCGCCAATGAATTCCCTCTCCCGATGAGCGGCGGGGGAAACGAATGCTCGCAGTTGAAAACCGCCCGAGGTATGGCTTGCGAAAAGAACTGGGTTGGGCACGTCAGTCCTGTGGAGGGATGCTCCATACTCTACACTGTTTTCGATCTCAGCGAGCTATGAGCCAGCGAGGCAGCTTTCCGACCCAGAGGTGTTCCAGTCTACAACAGAGCAGTGGTTGTCGACGGGCAAGAAGATGGTGGATTACTGCGAGAGGAACGGACGTCGAGGTTGCTTCTGTTGGGACGTTTTGTGCTGGGTGCCTTCGCAAAGCACGCTGGAATCTGAATGACGGATATGTTCCAGGGAATTGGCATCGTGGAGGCTCTGGACACGTTGACGAAGGCGGCCTGTTCCAGCCTTCATGATGTGTCTGCTTTGAACGCTGTAGGCAACGAGCATGGTGTTCTCGGTTATGTGCTGGCGTCAACCACCATGGCATAGGTCGTACAGCATTGGACTCTCGCGGATTCAGGGATGGACATGTGCGCACTGCGTCACTGTAAAGGTCAATTAGGTATCTCAATTAGCTCAATTAGGTAACTCAACAAGCACTCGGATCCCACTCTTAATTGATTCGATTGAAGGTGTGCGCTGGGAAAATCTTGGATGGCATTCTGCTACATGAAATTCCGGCCTTGGAAGCTGGTCTTCAAGGAGACGTTGAGAATTTCCCCGAGAGTCCTGGGAGTTCGGGCCAACGCGGCGGAGTCGCTGGAGACCCAGTTAAAACCCAAAGGCGGGTGAGGAAGTACCCTCGTACCCGGATTGAGTTTGGTCCCTGCAGGAGCTGAGGTGGGCTGCTGGGTTGGGTGAGTCGCGTTCGGGCAGATCTCTCCGGGGCAGCGCACCCCACCTTCAGCGCACCGCCAGTCGAGCGGGGGTCGCGATGACGCAACCCGGACTTCCATTCTGCAGAGGCCGGCCTTGGCTGGACTCACGCTCAGTTATTTTGCCAAGTTCAATCTCAGTGCCTCAATTTAGGAATAGATGGGTCGAAAAATATATTGTGGTTGTTTTTACTTGATTTGAACTTGTGTGGGGTGCTTGCATCCGTTCCCTTTTCTCTACCCAGGTGCTGGTGAATATGGTTGAAGAACGTCCGCTGGATTTTCGACCATGTTCCCGCGGCGTGCCAGTGAGGAATGCGAAGTCCAGATGCACCCGTGGTACTCCGTACCGGGCGCGGACCTGGTCCAGGGCGGCTGACCGGCTAAACCTGAGGTCACCCCGCTAAACCAAAGGTCGACCCAAACTAAAGGTCGGCTAAACCTGAGGTCGGGTAAACCTAAAGTTCGCTAGACCCAAGGTCGACCCATGACCCAAATCCAAAGGTCACACCTGCCACCCCAAAGCTCGACGCAAGGTCGGCCAGCCTCAGTAAACCAGGTCGACCCGATAAACCATTGGGTCGGCCAAACCCACTAAACAAGGTAGGTAAGCTCGACCTCACAGCTCACAGCCCACAGCTGTGACCCAAATCTGAGGTCACAGCACTAGACCCAAGGTCGACCAAACCTTAGAAAGTCGCAATTGCCATCGCCATCGCCATCGCCATCTCTATCTGCATCGCTGTCATTATCCATCGTCATTGCTATTTTCCCCCGAATCATGCGACGACTCGGTGTCACACACCATCCCGTCTTACAGATTGCAACAAACAAATGCGATACGCCGCGCAATACAATGCAGCCACCCTTATAATCTGGCTATTGATATCATCTCACCTTACCCAATGAGTACACGTTTGTCTTCCAGATTGCAAGGCATGGAATCAACAGTGAACCATGGCAGCCGAACTGCTGGTCTGTTCTGCAGACTTACGTGATCTTGGGTGAGTTTGGGCACAGACCAGCCGAAAGCACTTCACCAAAGTCAAGACCTCAGAGCTTTTCTCGTGACGAGCGCGACAAATTCCAATTCTGAGTATTGTCCAGGAAGAAATTTGGGTTTGTGGAGAATTTCATTGGCTCTGAACCGGTTGACCAAAACTTGACGCGCATCCTCTTTCGCAGCGCCGACTCTCGAAGCCTGCCGACGACGGGGCGTTTCATGGACCGCATCCCGTTCCTGCTCAAACAGCTGACGATACTTTTGGCAGCTGCAAGCCTCTGTCACCCGTCCAAATACAACTCATACGCTTTCCGCATGTCCAGCTGGCATCCCCATGGCCCTCGCACGCGCTCGACTCTGGCACCTTTCATTTGCGTCCTTCCTCGGGCTCGTATCAGACTTTCCAGGAAAAGAACATCGGCTACCGACGCTTTGGCACGACTTCGTCATCTTCTCACTCCGCCTTTCATCGACATGTTTCCGCCTCTCAGTCAATCTTTGCTTTGTCCGCGCCTTGGACACGGACGTCGACGACATTGCAGCGACCGATTACCATCAAATTCCATCCCCCGGGAACTCACACCTGTCAGCCACATCGCCTCCTCTGCTAAGCACTGTACTGGCACGATTCCAAACGTTTCCTCCGCAACAACCAGCAATGTGGCCATCTGACCGTTGCGAAGAAAGCTGACCACCGATCTCAAACGTTTGACGATGGACCACGTCGCCAACAGAACACCAAAGCCCATGCAGACCAGATGTACGAAGCCCCGTCCTCGAGGACAACGGCCAGGGCTCCTTCAATTACACCCCAAGCAGTTTCCTCCGCAAATTCCTCGACGGCCTCATGCTACAGTCTTGAGAGCGACTTGACTACCCTGCTGTCCACCCACGGCGCCAAAGTGCCACTTCCGGTGCAGTCGCTGGAGCCACGACGGATGCTGCGCCGCCACGTCTGTTGCCTCGAAGAGAATTAATCGGCTACAGTCCAACTCGGCCAGGCAACTCCATTGGGTGAGGACTGCGACCCAAGGAGCTTAGGTGGAGGTCTTACTCGCTGTCGAAACGGGGTTACGAAAACCACGCCCCTCGGTAACGTCCGTCACCCACTTCTCGGCACCCCCCACTTCTCGGCACCCCAAAAATCGCTCACCGCCATGACTACCCCTCAACTTAGAACTTTGATATCTTTATTATTTCCTTTTTAATTATCACTAGACTTTATAGAACGCATAATAAGACCTTAATGCTAGCATATACCGAAAATGACGTTACTTAAGCCCTTAAAGCGATTGCAAACGGTTAATCTATTAAAAGAGCTTTATATAAATAGGGTGTTCCGCGATCAACACTACAATGTTGAATAAAGGGCGTACAAACGCGAGATATAGCGTTTTCCAACCAGCAGAGACTCTCTCCTACCCAAGAAAGCCATCTAGCTGAATGGGTTCGGATCCAAGCTGCCCTAGGCCTCCCACCAACACATCAACAACTCAAGGAATTCGCTGAGCGTATCCTTCAGAACCAAGGAGACTCCCAGCCTCTTGGAAAGAACTGGATTCAATCTTTTATTAAGAGGAACCCATCCGTAAGGGTCCAGAGAAGCAGAGCAATTGATTCCCAGCGTATCAATGGAGCCTTAACTAATGTCATCAGGCAATGGTTCAAGCACCTCGCTATACCTGAGATTATGGCTATTAAGCCCTCCAACCGATACAATATGGATGAGACTGGCATTCTTGAGGGCAGGGGATCAAATGGCCTTGTTCTTGGATCATCAGAAACTCGTTCTATCCGTAAGAAACAGCCTGGATCGCGTGCTTGGACATCCCTTATTGAGTGTATCTCTGCAACTGGCCAGGCACTGCCTCCACTTGTCATATATAAAGGAAAGAGTGTCCAGCAGCAGTGATTCCCTCTCGATCTGACGCCATATGCATCCTGGAAGTTCACAGCAACAGAAAACGGGTGGACTTCAGACTCTACAGCTATCAAGTGGTTGATAGAGGTCTTTATCCCTTCAACCCAGCCAAGAGACCCCTCAGAGGTTAGATTATTGATCCTGGATGGTCATGGAAGCCATGAGACTACTCCTTTTATGTATCTCTGCTTCAGGAACAAGATACACTTGCTCTTCTTACCTGCTCATACGTCACACGTCCTTCAGCCTCTAGATCAGTCCGTTTTTGGGCCCCTCAAGGCAGCATATAAGAAGGAGCTTGGATTACGTGCTGAGTGGGATGCTAGCATAGTTGTGGGCAAGAGAAACTTCATTATATGCTACAGCAAGGCACGTAAGGCAGCATTGACAAGCAAGAACATTATCAGTGGCTGGAAATGGACTGGGTTGTGGCCCGTTAGCGTGGCTAGACCCCTTATGAGCCCTCTGCTGCTTGAGAACGCATTAACACCTGCTAAATAGGCTAGTTAGGTCTGCAAAGGGCTCTCTAGTGGCGAGGCAAGCGAAAAATGGGCGGCAGACACATCAGCAGTCCCTTGGTCAACCCCCAAGAAGAGGGATGAGCTTCAGGATCAGTTCAGCCTATTCAGCAAGCTGGATAATGATGAGCATACGCAGCGCCTGCTTTTCCGGAAGGTTCAGAAGGGCTTTGACGAGCAGGCATATCAACTAGCAGTTGCCCAGCGAAAGATTGAGGCACTACAAGCAGAGGTTGATGCCAGCAGAGCCAGGAAACGCAAGAAGGTCAGAATGAGCCCAAATTCAAAGTTCGCCGATATTGAGGCTATTCGGAGGGCTCAAATTGAGGCGGGCGAACTTGAAAATAGCACAGATGAATCCAGCGAGTCTGAAAACCCTAGTGATAGCGAAAGTTGCATTGTTGTAGCATCATAATACATATAAAAAGTGGCTGAAGTTGATGTGTATCAATGTGAGGGCATCAAAATTGGGGGTGCCGAGAAGTGGGTGACGGACGTTACGCCGCCCATATCACCACGAGAGACGATCTCGCCATACACTCGACTCTGTCACGCCACTTCCTGCAAGGCCGGATCGATGACTATGGGGTTCGACGATGACACGGTACGTTCCTTTCGGCACAACATCCCAAATGGCGGAGGGAGGCGTTGGGCCGGATCTGTTGCCGCACATCTCTCGCAAGTCAACTCTCCTCAGTCTTCCATTCAAGATCCACCGCCTTTGCACCATGCTAACCCGTTCTCTCCCAGCTCAGCCCCTCAAATCTTCGGTTCAGAACTACAACCGTGCTATCGACGAAGCCCCATCAAGACCAAGCGCACCATGACCGTGGACGCCTGTCAGAGATCGAGAACGACGTGTCGTCCTCTACACAACCCACAACTCTTCCACTCCCACCTCTCGCAAAACCAGAGCCGCCATGTATGTGGGCACCCGTCAACACAGCTCAGAGGCGTCAGTCAAGAACCTTGCACAGAGACGGAGCTCGAAGGCGGCGGCGGTTCGCGAGGCCCCCAGGGGCAGAGCAAGAGAGGCACCAAGAACGAGAGGACTCAGAGCTATTGCATGGAGAGGAAAACGGTACACAAACAGTCCGGCGAACGAGAAGGCTCGTCGCCCAGAAAGAACGAAGATCCTTGCCAGGGAACTGCGTTCCTCCCGTTATTGCCACAGATATCGCGCCGCAATCTCGAGTCAATGCAATACCACTGGCCCTCGGCACAATACAACTACACATGGTGTCGATGGATGTTGCGCTTCCTGGTGGATCGAGACAGAGCACGAGGGAACGACTGCTGGTGAGAAACATTGGGTTGAGACATCGAGACAAGGACAGCACGCGGGGAACAAGCAGATCAAGAGAGAACGAACCATTCAGGGGCATCAATCTTTCCATTCACAGGCAGGGCAAGAGTTCATCCACGTGCCATGGTTCGATTGTCGACGAGAAGACTTTCCCATCTTTGATGATGGAGGGGGGGGGGGGGGGGGGGGGGGGGGGGGGGGGGGGGGGGGGGGGGGGGGGGGGGGGGGGGGGGGGGGGGGGGGGGGGGGGGGGGGGGGGGGGGGGGGGGGGGGGGGGGGG